TATGGGGTTTTCCCCAAAACTTCCAGGAATAGCAGTAGATTTATAGCAATGAAAAAATGCCTTAATGRTAACAATAATTTCAATTTGTCATACATCAAGGGTATTAGGACTGAGTTATGGAAGAAACAAGGCAAGAGTCTTGTTTGATTCAACACAATGAGAACTCTCAGACAAACCGAACTGAGCTCTCACTTATAATCAAATGTTACAATAGACCATTTCGTTGTTACAAATGTGCGAAGCGGCTGAGCTCACATGTCTTAAGCAGCTGTAATTATTGCAATTTCCCCTTGGAGATCATTAAAGTATTCTGATTCTGATTTATCCAGATTCTGATTAATACAAATGCACCCTTTATGGAAACACCCTTGGAATTGAACAATTTCAAACAGTCTATTTACGCYATTATGCAGACCCGATATATTTGCTATAAACTGATTTGTTAAACTTTTAAGATTTTTCAATCTGCTTTTTGAGSTTGTTGAATTTGATCAATGCCAAATTCCATAGCAACCTTGGCATTTGTATCGAACGACGTGTAAGCTCAATAACTTGTTCTAAATTGCTGTGTTATAAGGATGGAAGAACCAGCATCATCTCCTTTGCATAATACATTTATAATACTCACTGTAAGTTGAGTTGACTATTTCAGTTTGCTAATATTTTCTACACTTTTAGGCAGAAGTCTGCTGACGTCTCCTTTCAATGAGCTGGGAGAAAAATCTTTTTCCCCAACAAAGGTAAGTGTCCTTACTCTGTAAAAATCTGTTGTTTAAAAAGAACATGAATGAAAATGTAGTCTAAACAAATGTTTCAAAGTTCAAGAGCAAACTTCAGAGGCCAAATGGACCACCAAGTGCTTGTCTTGTATCTTTGTTCACTTCAATGAGAACAGATTGGTGGTCCATGAATCCTAGTGTAATATCAATGTATTTTTTTTTAAATGGCTAAAAAGCTTTTTTTAGACTAAAGGTCAGAAAAGTAGAAGCACCGATTATCCTGATATAACTTTGTTCAGAACATCACAAATTTTTCTCCCTSTGAAGTCAAAGTGCATTTTTTAATGTAATAAATCGATTTACTTCTGTTTAATCAGGAAACTGAAAGAATCTAGAATCCTTGGTCGGCATGTGGAGACCCTAACCTTACCGGCAGGGAAACCCAGACATCTCTCTCCCCAGCAGCACTCTTCGGCTCCTCCTGAGGGACCTCCCAGGCCAGAACTTGTTCCTCATTTCAGCTGCTTGTATCCAGGGTCTTGTTTCTTTTGGTTATGATCCAGATCTCGTGACCTCTGATGAGGGTTGGAAACAAGAACAGTGCCCTCATTCCTGTGAATGAGGCTTCAAAGAAACTTGAGATTTCAAATCTCGCAACAGCATTACTTGGACACACTGCTGTATATGTGACATTAACAAGAAGTTCATCTCYGTCCCTTTTTTGTGTTGATGATCATGYAAGGTGTCAGGCAGAGATCGACCCAGGACACAGGCAAAATCCAGAGTACAAAAAACAAAGGCTTTATTGAACCAAGGAAGGCTGATGAAGCACCTTAATAAAACTCACGATTATGGACAAGGGAGGATCACACCACACTGGCAGGAAACAGCACAATGATCTGACAAACCCTGAGGRCAGGACACAGAATATAAAGGCAAACTAATGAGGGACTATGAGAAACACCTGGAGGAGACACAAAGGGAAACAGGTGAGCGTKGGYGGGGCTGGAGGAATGACAGACAGCAGGGGAGAGATACAYAGGGAAACACTGGAAAAACCAATGCAGAATAGACACAGACCATGACAGATCACTGCAGTTTTTTTAAACCAACTGTTGAATGAGTTTGAGTTTCTAAGTCATGGGTAACAATGGGTTCTGTACATGTTTGAAAAATTGTCACTATAAAATGATTTGAAGAAAAAAAAGGTCTGTCTTTGTTATCTTGTTTGATCKGTTTTGTTCAGCAAAAAACAGTAATGTGTCCTGTTCTCGTGTCTTGGGATTGTTGCTGGTGACCTCAATCCATCAGGKCCAGATTC